AGTTTCCACTAAAGAAGATCACTCTGTAAGAAGGACAGAATGCCAGGATACCTCAGGATGTTGTACTTCCCTTGGCACGTGGTTTGAGCAGTCTTAGAATATTGTAGAGGGCTGATCTTAAGAGTCTGATATGGGTTTAAGATTCAGGACAGAGTTTGACCTTTGCCCAGGCTTTAACCCAAAGGGCTCAATAATTCAGAAGCAGGGCTCTCCAAACTCTCCCTGTTAGGAGGTTCCTGAGACATTCCTTCTCACTCTTTGGACCTTAGATTTACATATTCACTCCTCTACACAGGTGCCAGGAAAAAGCCTTGGAATTTACAACTCTATCTAGGAACTCTGATAAGGAGGAAATGCATGTTATCACATCCTTAGCAGATGTTTTGGGAGTGTCTCACCGGGAGGACTCTTTGAAGTTAGGATGGATTTTCTCTATATATCCTGTACCCTCAGAAAAATAAACTGAGTCAGTTTTTCTGCTCCACCTGGTCCACTTCTTCATGTCTTATTTCACACCTTTCCATTCAGTGCACTATCTGGTTGCGGGCAACAGAATATAGGAAGGGTTTTTAAACCACAAAATGTTTTTAAATTGCTAAAATATCACTTTGTGTTAACTAAGACAAGTTACAAACCATACATAGCCATTGTTATACATAATGTTATAGTTTATTTATTCTAACATTTGTAATAAAAAATTCAGGCACAGCATTATTTATCCAATTGAATTGGGAGAGTTTTAATTTTTTTGTATATGTATATACACACATATGTATATATATATATATACACACACATTATATATGTATAGTGTGTGTGCACATGTGTATATATGAAGTCTCCTAAATATGAATTACCTAAATGAATTGTACATTAAAAGAGAATTAAATCACCAGGAGGCATAATGCTCACTATGTATAATTTTAAGCTGAGGGGATTCAATGAAACAATGTTATTACTAAAGTTAAAATGTATATAACATTCCTAGGCCAATTCTCTTGTTTAAAAAAATAATCTTATTTTCTTTTCTTTTATGTCAAGTATATTTAATGTCTCTAATATGGAACTGGTCCACATTTTGTTTTCCAAATTGTAAGAAAAATAAAAATACAAGCAGACCATGGGCTGATAAATTAATAGATTTAGAACTTGAATAGTCCTTAATCCAACTACTTCATTTTAAGGATGAGGAAACTGAGGCTGGACATTAAGTAAATTGCCCAAAGTCCTACAGGTCATAAGCATTAGAGATGGAATTCTTTGAGAGTTTGGGTCCTATCATTCCAGAATGCAAAAGAACACAACCAAATGAAGCCTGCTTTAAGCAACCAAAGTTTCACTTGGACTATGACCTACTGCTATATCCTCCATTACTACCAATGAAGCACTCCATGATTGGGTTCACATAGGTAAACGGTAGACATTATACTGTCTCCACAAATGATGGTTGAATAAAGTAATGCTTCTTAAGTTAAATAATGATGAAGCTATCCACTGTGCTTGGCACATAGTATGTCTTTAATGAAAGCTTCATGATTGCTGATTGGATTGTCAAAATCATATTTCAGGGCCAGAATTATTTGATAATTTGCTTAGACAGGTTGATTAGACAATTATTATATTAAATCTTCCACTTGCCTTTGTATTTTGTCATCACAGATAACAATCATCTTAGTGAATCTAGATGGTTTATTAATGGTTTTGTTATTATTGTTGTTTTTTCACATACAGTTTCCATCTTATTGCTTACTGTCTTGCTTATATTGTATTAATTATTATTTATTATATTGTATATATTTATATATTATATTGTATTAATGCACATATCTACTCATGAAAGATATCTGAAAGCTTTTAAACGGCAGGATCACTTAATATAATTTTTGTGTATTCTCCCCACAAAATATAGCACAGTTCTAAAAACATTATAAGGTCCTCGAAAACCATTTGATTCATTTAATTATGATATTATCGATTTCTACTGTTGACTTGTTTCAGTCAATGTACACTAATACTAGGCAATTGATATATTACTAAATGATACTAGCACAATACTTCATCATGGCTTGGAGGAGATTGGGTTCCTGAGGAATATACAAATAAATTATAAGTTCTAGCTAGACCCACTGAGCTTCTAGGATGGGTACTAGGATGTATGTTTATTGTCTTAACACCAGCCTACCTATGTTCAGAGAAACCCATGACCAATGTGGTCACAGAGCAATCAAGTTTTCGGTCAAAGTAATACTTAAAAAACAAGCACTAATTTATAAAGGAATGTCTATCTGTGTTGGCAGAAAATACCTCCACACTGATAAAAATCACTTAGCCCTAGATTACTGAAGTAATCTGTTTATCATTGCCTTTAGAATGCCAAGTGAATATCAGTTTGACATAGAAAAAGGACACTGTTTTGAAGATTATTTGCTTATTTTAACAAGTGCATAAGTAATTCTGACTAATTACTTTTCTCTTGAATCGTACAAATCACACTAACAAACCTTTTTTAAAAAATCAATTACGTTTGCCTTATGAAACAAATAGGCAACTTAAAATAGTGGATAGAAAACCAGTCTCAACACCTGAAAGACCTGGGTTCAAGATCTCTCTCTGACACATATTAGCTGGGTGACAGGGGACAAGTCATTTAACCTCTCAGGGATATAGGTGACTCTCAAAAATTATAAATTGCAGAGAAGATAGCATAATACAATGTAATTGGTTGATAACAGAAGGGAAAAAACTGCTTTAATACCTTGGCTTAGAAACTTAGAAAAATAAAATAGCATCAGAAGTAGGGGGTTTTCTTTCGTAAGCCAATGAGATAGACTCAGGGTAAATGGATGGTTTAAAGCCTACATCTAAATCTAGCTGTTTCAAATAGCAGCAGCAGTACTTGAATAGCAGCGGCACTAATATTGAGAAGAAGTGATTCATCTAAAAATGGAACTTCTGTGTTGGTTAGATTTCATTTAAAAAAAACATGGAAATTAGATGCAATTTTCCACAGCCACCAACAGCCAGCCCTGGGGAAAGTTAAAAAAAAATATCAGGGCAACAAACATGCTTTGCTAAGTATAGAATTCATGTCATCCTCAGGGATTGTGACTTTGAAATTGAACATACTGTTAGAGATTTGTGTTTTAAAATTTGACAAATGGGACAAAATTGTCTCTTTGTAGAATTTTCCTTGCCATGCTTCTAGGGCATCATTGAATTCCCTCAAGGCTACATAAGGCATATAAAGGAAAAGAAGCCATATATTTTGACTCAAATTGATTTTTTTCAAACTCTCATGTCTTGGGAAATAATTCAAGATATTCCACTAAGCTGGATAAGCATCTAGCAATCTTACCTACGTGAATGCCTGCCCAAAGTCTAGTCATAATAAGACTAAGGTTATGTCTACACAAACAAAATTAAGTATTTAGATGAACTATACATGTTTTAATTCAATGGGGAAAATGATAAGAGAGTTTAGAACCCAGATTTTCCCGTGAATTGCTACAACTCTACACATTTTTAGTTTGCTTATGAAGATACTGCCCTGTGGCCATGCCTATATGATTTAATGGTTTGCAAAGCTTTTTGTTTTCCATTTGTATGCCATATGTTTGATTTTATTGGATTTAGAGTTTGCATCAAATATAAGGTGGGCTGAACATTCTACTAAGTCATCAGAATCAGATTTCACCATTCACACCACATCTTACCATTAACCTAAGTGATCTTGAATTCCTATCTTAAGCTATTGGAAGGTGTATCAAGAAGTCACTTGGTCTGATAACTTTATCTTCAATGTCATTTTTAATTGTTTAATAATTTATTTTAAATTATTTTTAACTTACCATCTTCCAAACTGATTTGAGGTGGCTTATATACCAAATTTTAAGCAAAATATGATAACTAGGAATAGTAGCAGCATAGAGATCATTAAAATAAAACAGAGTCAGTTGATAGGGACACATGATTAATACAACTTACAGGGAACTAAGTGATCCAGGTCAAGATGAAAAGGGAAATAAGTGAAGTTACAGAGATTTCATTTTCTGACAAAAGATGCATACAAATTTGTCTAGTATTAAATTCAATACATTTTCCTCATGGCTTCTCATATAAAAATATTGGAAGACACAATGGACAATATTTTCAACTATGTTTTTACAAAACAATTGAAATGGCTGAGGGTGGGGTGCAGAGGATAGAAAAAAAATAACTGAAATGTTGTTCAAATGGGCATTTCAAATATTGGCTTCTGTAAAGGAAGAGGTCACAGCATTAAATTACAACCCAGTGAAGACATCTGTGGAGAATTATTGTGTGCTAATCTAAATTAAAAACAGGGATGGAACACAGAGACTCTTGATGAATGGATGGTTTAATAAAGCCTAGCTCCCACAAACAGTAGTTTGTTGTGCTGTTTTTTTTTTTCCAAGTGAGTATTTGGTGGGTGATAAATGGTAGTGCCTAATGACTGAAATCCCTAACAAGTGTTTGCTGTATTATCTTATTAATTCGTATCCTGTTGACAAACAATCTCATTGATTCATTCATTTATTTATTCAATAAACATTTATTATGCATCAACTAGGAATCAGGTATTTTGCTAGGTGCTGGGGATACAAAGACAAAACAAACAAGCAAACAAGCAAACAAAACAAAGTACCATTTCAAAATATTTTATCCACAAACCTACCTTTTTATATGATAGAAAAGGGTTAGCAATTAAAATAATCACATAAAGGAAATACTTTACAAGGCAAAACAAGCTACCCTGTAGAGAAGCAGATCTTAAGAGAATATGATGGGAATGGTGTTCATAGAACCATCATTTAAATGGGTATAATCACAAGATCAGAGTGTGAGCACTGAAACGTGCTGCTTTTTTTTTTAACCATCTTTTTATGTTAAAGACACTCCCAAATGGAAATTTAAGATCCTACAAAAAGAAACTGCTTTTGAAACAAAGCTCTGTGTTGCCAGTCCCTTGTCATACTTACATTCAGGCTGGGTGGCCACCTTAATAGGCTGAGAACTCTCCCCTGGTCCCCGTTCATTATAGGCCACAACTCGGAATGTGTAAGTTGCTTCTGGCTTCAGGTTTCCCACTGTAAGTTGAAGGGACCCAGGCTGGGTTGTATTCAATGCTCGCTCCCTGAGAAATAACAATTCCACAGAAACATTACACTTAATCTATTTAACTAAGTTTTTTTTCTTACTGTGGGAGATAGGGCAAAAATGTAGGTAAGATAGGTAAAATATAAATCCCCACTCCCTTTGGGATATAATTCTAGGACTTCAAAGATTTACTATGAAAAATTATTTCATTGGAAGGGCCTGGAGATAAACATGGTAGGGGCTTCAGGAAGATGATTGGCTAGGGGCTTTTTTCCATAAACCCTGTATTCTAGAGATTCTTCTTTGGACTTCTTAAAATTTCTTAAAATTTCCACTGCTAAGAAACAAAGAGCTATTCAAAGAAAAAGGAACATCCGGAATATAGGCAGGGACGTGAATTTGGTAAACATCTGGCTAATGAGACAAATAAAGGTTCTAATTATTCCACAAATCCGGCCTTGTCAGTGTTGCTAACAATTGCATTTCCTTTCATTTCAGCATCTGTATTTTTCTTTGGTGAAGAGTTTATATCTACACTAGTGGCAGCAATTCGCACTACTTTAAATCTTTAAATTCAGCCAGTGAGGGCATGAGCATCCTTTTATATAAGGGAAAATAATGACATTTAACACTTCTAACTCTTAGGTCCCATTTCTAGGTGGCTACCAAAGTACCCTTCACCCCACCCCAGTTGTCTCTAAGAATAATTATAGCATATTTTATATATATATATATATATATATATATATATATATATATATATATATATATATATATGTGTGTGTGTGTGTGTATGTATATATATACACATATATATACACACACATACACATATATATATATACACAATAGTATGTTTATATTGTATTAAATATATTATGTTAATATATTTTGTTATAATAGATATATTCACCAAAACCCTGAGACTGAGGCATTCTAATGTTATTCCCATTTTACAGAGGATAAAACCAAGGCTCAAAGACCGTTAAGTGTCTCATCCAAGGTCACACAAGTAGTAAGTGCTGGATTTAGGATTAGCCTCAGGGTTGAGATGTATCTAAGGGAGTATGAGAGGGAAGAGGCCTCCTCCCACCTCTATAAGTCCCTTGAAAATATCTCCCTAATGCATTCCATTATTTAAAGGTACTTTGGGGTTATTAAGCTCCAGAGCCATAATTAGAATGGGGCACCATGAACCTTGTTTAGGGGTGCCAACATCTGGGGATCTTACTTGCTTACACGCTTACTTTTGAGAAAGTGTGCTAAATGATCCAGAGACCATTAGCTCCATGCCTGGACCTTCTTCTCCTAGCTTGCATCACAAACACAATCTTGCTTTGTGGTCTAGTCTCCAGCCACCCCCAAGGGTCCCATAACAATAGTACTTTTCTAAGGCCTTACTTTCTCCTTCTTCCTTCATAATGCCATTGCTATAGGTAGTTCTCAGTGAGGAACTCCCTCTACCAATGCAAATCAGCCTCTTTTCTTCAACTTAGAGTCTTAGCGAGTAGAACCGGATGTTGTGGAGTTAAGTGACTCCAGAGTCAAGTAGACATCATGTGCCAGGGGGCAGATTTGAACTCAGATTTTCTTGACTGGAAGGCAAGCACTCTATTCACTATAGGATATTGTTTCTGTTCTTTGATATCTTAGTGCTAATTATTTTAATCAGACTTTTATGTTATTTTTCATTTATCATGTCTTAGAAATGGAAGTTTTGATGAGAGGGGGCAATTTTGGAGCATAGGTTACTTTGGAAGAGGAAAAATCTTAGTAGAATTCTAAAGGGGGGGGAGCATTGGTGAGTATCAAGACAGCAGGAGCCTGGACTCAGTATGTAGGTGGTGGGTAAAGGAGAGGGGAAATAAGGGCATCGAAAAAAGGCAGAGATGTAAAAAGGTGCTAAGGACAAACTTTCTCTACCTGGAAATTCTTCCATAGGCCCACTGACAATCATTTGCTACTTTATGAAGTAGCCAATCCCTAAGATTCACAAAGTCCATAAGCAAGAGTTGATTATATTGGGTGTCCATAAGAAAACATCAGAACAAACGTCATGGGGGAGAAAATAATCTAACAAAAAGATAAATTATATGGTGGAATAGTTTCTCTGGAAAATATTGGTATAATCATCAGTACATACGTTTTTCAAAAACAAACCTGGGAAAATGAGTTTACCTGATAAATAGATTCCCAATTATGAAACTCTAATACAAATCTGTTCAACGTATTTAGAGCTCGAGGTTTTACCATTTCACTCCCTCCTGAAGAAACCTTACTAACCTCTTCTCCAACCTCCTCCCCAATCTGCCTCTCCCCCCACTTCCCACACGCAGTGAGGTAAGGATGAAATATTCTGCTTGGCATTTAAAGTCTTTCACAATCTAGACGCTAATTACACATCAGCCACACGCATGCATTCTATTTTGTTGTTGTTGTTGTTGTTCTACCATTCAGTAATGTCTAATTCTTCATAACCCAATTTGGAGTTCCCTTGACAAAGATACTGGAGTGGTTTGCCATTTCCTTCTCCAGCTCATTTTACAGATGAGGAGACTGAGGCAAATAGGATTAAGTGACTTGTCCAGGGTCACATAACTAGTAAGTATCTGAGGCCAGATTTGAACTCAGGAAAATGAGCCTTCCTGACTTCAGGACCTGCAGCCTATCTACTGTACCACTTAGTATACATTCTATATTCTAGTCAAATTGGACTACTTGCTGTTCCCAATACATGATGTTCCACTATCTGACTGCACTTCTGTGTATGGGCCCCCCACTATGCCTGAAATGCCTTCCCTCCTCACCTCTACCTCCTGAGAGTCCTATCTTCTTTCAAGACTCAGCTTAATTGTCAGCCCTTTCAAGAGGCCGTTCCTGATTCCCTTAGTGGTCAGTGCCCTTTGCAAATCATTGGATATTTATTTTTTTAAAATACTTTGTAATGAATTATCAGAAATCATAACATATCTTCCCTGTGAAATGTAAGTTTCTTGATGGTAGTGACTGTCTTTTTTATTTTTATCTCCAGTATTTATCACAGTGCCTGGCACATGATAGGAAAACACTAAATGAATGTTTATTGTATTTATTGTTTGTCCTTGGAAATTACCTAATTAAACCTCCCCATTTAACAGATGAAGAAATGGAAATGCAGAGAATATCTTGACTTGTCCAATGTCACACAAAGTAAGAGTCATCTGACTCAAAATCCAGTGCCCTTTGCATGATGTCAAGTTGCTTCTTAAAAACAACCTGTGTTCCGATAGCATTAGCCACTCAATTCCTTTTAAATATCATCCTAGTGATTTAGAATAATGATCAGATTTATGAAAATTCAATGTACACAGTTTTGTAGAAGTATTCCTATTCTGTCACAGTGAGACAACAGCAAAATAATTCCTTTCCCCTGCCCAATGTAGTTCTCTAGCCTTACCTTTCTTTCTAACTTGACAGAAATTCACTGCAGTAGGAGCACTGCCAGATTTGGAATTAGAGGTACTGGGTTCTAGTCCTGGTATTGCTACTTATTTATCTGCATGACCTTGGGCAGGACACTTAATCTCCTCAGAGTTCATTTTGCTCATCTGTAAAACAATGGAGCTGGACTTCTCTTTGAACTCTGATTCCATAGAATCCTTGCAGCATCCAATTATTCCAAGGTAATACCACTGCAGAGCATTTTGGGAATTGATGCACATGCCACAAAGGCTGGAGCTTCCCAAAAAGATTGCAGAATAGGAGCATTGAGGAAAGAAGACCCACAAACCAGCACAAAGAAAAGCCTCACTAAAATAATTTTCAGTGAGTTATGGCTCTGTCAGAAGCTTTTTATTGGTATTTCCTATCAGATTAACTTTGTTTGTTGAGATAAATTAAACAAAAAGGATCCTTAATCCACAGAGCTGCTGAGTGGGTTCTGATAAGAGGAATAGTCCCAATTTTAAAGAAGGGGAGAGAGAGCTCCTTCTTCCAGTTCAACAGTTCCTCCATAATATCTGATGTCTCCATTTGTCTCTAGGTTGGTGTTTGCAATTTATTCTTTTTGGACGTTTTCTCAGTCTCCACTGAAGGAGTAGCCCCCTGTCCATGGTGACATATCCCTATACATTGTGGGAGGGGGGTCTCCTAGTCTCTTAAACTGTCTTTTGTAGCTCAGCTCTGAGGAATAAGCCCTGAAGCATTTTTTCTTCATCTGACAGTTGGAAACAAATCATCCCACAAATAAAGACAGTGTTTTCCACTGTAGAGTCCTGAGCCTGTATTCTAGCTTTTGCTGGTCTTAGCTATAGTTATGCTCTGCTCCATAAGCTTCCTATTCAAACAGTAATTAAGGATTTTCTTTCTCTCTCTCCCCTGTACTTTCACTCTTTATTCAGCACTGCTCTGTAGCCTAGCAGATAGAACACTTTGTTCCCAAGAAAGGGCTGCATTTTAGCTACAATGGATTTCATCATTTTTGTCCAATTACTGTGTTTGGGGTGTTCTACCTATCATTGTGTGCTCACCTTTTCCTGAGAAAGCAGCAAGAACTGGAGATCTCTGACTCTTACTAATGTTGCTTCTATGATTCTGAAGACGTAATTAGCCTTCAGTTCCTGAAAGCTCAGATTAATGGCCTCAAGCAATAGATATCTTGTCCTGCAAAACCTCATTCTTTTACTCCTTTTCTCCCTGACATATTTGATGGTGTGGATTGAGCTCAGTGAGGAGAGGGGCCCAGATACCTCACCTATGTGGTAGATTCCATTCACCATCCACCTCATCTATTGCAAAGTTTAAAGAAATGAACATATTTCCTACCCAAGATACCCCCTCTCCAACACACACACACACACACACACACACATACACACACACACACACACACATGCATACACACACAGATTTCAATATCAGTGCTACTAATTTATCTTTCTGCTATCTCAAAGAGAAATCAAAAATTGAGTTGGTACCTAAAATAGGATTTATTCCTGAGAATTTTGGTTTCTATTTGCTTTGAGGGTATCTATTGATCTCCAGGAAAGAACAGTTGGT